TTTTCACCCCCATAATATACTACCCCCACTTCCTTTATGTGCTCTTCGATTATCAATTCTTTTCTGCCTTGATTTGTGTAATGTATGGGCACGAGATGGACAGGTGGAGCATGGGTGAGGCAGCAGCATGGGGCTACGCTTTTGAGGGATTGGGAAGCATGATGTTAGTCTTTTCACTCTTTTGTTTCTTCACCGTTTGCATAGGCAAAATTAATTAGATATTATTTTAGCATGTTAGTCTTTTGAGGGGTTGGGAAGCATAGGCAAAATTAATTAGATATTATTTATAATTATATATTATTTAAATTAATTATAAATTATTATTTTTAATTAAAAAATATTAAATTCTAAAATTCTAAAAATATTTCGATTAATTCGAAAATTAACCGAATTAACTGAAATTTATTTGGTTCGATTAATACTTTCAGAAAAAAGTTCGGTTCGGTTAACGATTAAATAAAAAAAATTTGGTTAATTCGGTTAAGGGTATTTCGGTTCAGTCGGCCACCGTTTTAACAGAATGAACACCCCTATGGGGATAAAATTATTATATCGCACAAGGCATTAAAACTCATTAGACCGGCTCTGATCAGTACTTATACTAATACCGAGAATGCTAATGATTCTTCTCAAAAAGTCGAAGTGGCTTCGATACACTATTCAAAACTATCGAATTTTCATCGAGACTTAATAAAAGGTTCCGTGTGTTCCCAAAGGCGTAAAACAAATACTTGGGAATGGTTTCAAGCAAATATGCATTTCCCACCTTTTTTTTTGTCAAAGTAGACAAACCCCTTTTTTTTACTTTCAATGTTTCTAAACCGCTGAAACTAGTATCTCAAAATTAGATATGTAAAAAAAGAATCACAAATTTCTGATTATAAAAAATCAAGAAAAAAGATAGACAAAAAAGTACAAAAGAGAAAAAAATACAGATATAAATAGTAGAAGGATGGGACAACATTGTAGACTTTATAGTTGTACAAATAAGAAAGGTTCAACATTAATAACTCAATTAATTCTTAGAAAATATATTATATTGCCTTCGTTGATAATAGCTAAAAACATTGCTCATATGTTATTATTTCAATTTCTTGAGTGGTATGATGATTTAAAGGAATGGAATCACGAAATGCATGTTAAATGCACTTATAGTAAACATAATTTTTTTTTAAAATAGTTAACATACGGTATTATGATAAAGAACCTGTTTTTAGTTGAAACCTTGGTATAGATTTAAACTAAAGATTAAATGGAAAAAAACGAAAAAGGTTAAAAGAATGGATTTTTCCTTTTTAACAGATTAGAGAATGAAAATTGAACTCTCTTTTGATTTTACTCAAAAAACGACGTTCATTTTTTGAGCTTATTTTAAAAGAACTAAAAAAATAAAAGGAATTAAAAACGAAATGTTGTATAGCTTTAACAATTTTAAAACAAAGAACAAAATTCAACAAGTCTCAAAAGAAATAAAAAAAAAGCTTCACTTAAAGTATTCTACTTTAAAAGGGAATAATAAAAGAACTTCTAAAAAGAAATCCAATTTCTTTTTTTTAGGTCGAGAGAAATATATGAATTGGGAAAAATTAAAAATGATTCGCTAATCAGTGATAAGATGATTCGTAGATTATCCATTCAAATGCAATTCATGGAGCAAACAAAAATATTAAGACTACTATCAATAATTATCAAATAATTGATAAAATATATCTTTTTTAGTTCACAATTTATCAAGATCAAAAAACCAACCCATCCAATCAAAAGGCCTTCCTTTTTGATTGGATGAGAATGAATGAAGAAATATTAAGTCATCCTATATCGAATATGGAGTTTTGGTTCTTCCCAGAATTTATCCCGCTATATAATACTTATAAGGTTAAAACATGAATCATACCAATAAAATTACTTCTTTTAAATTTAAATGGAAACTTGAGTATTAATAAAAATATTATTGAAAAAAAAATGAACCCTTGTAGCACCAAATGAAAAAATAGCATCAAACAAAAAAAATTAATTAGATTCTCTAATCGGGATCAAAAAGAAAAAGACCTCATAGGTGAAGGGGATCATGTATCAAATGCACAAAACAAATTTAAATCCGTTCTCTCAAACTAAAAAATATTGAAAAAGCTTATAGTAAATCAAACACAAAAAAGCGTAGAAAAAAAAAAGCAATACAAGAGCAACACAGAAGCAGAGTTTGATTTCTTCCTTAAAAAAGTTTTTGCATTTTCAATTAAGATGAGATTGTTCTTTAAATCAAAGAATACTCAATAATATTGAAGTACAATGTCTTTTGCTTAGACCGATAAATCCAAATGAAATTGTTATATCAAAGAATACTCAGTAATATCAAAGTATATTATCTTTTGCTTAGATTGATAAATCCAAACAAAATTGTTATATCCCCTATTCAAAGGGATAAATGAATCTGAATATTTTAAGATTTCACAGAATTTAACTCTTGGAAAATTATTGAAAAAATATTTATTATCGAGCCAGTTCATCTGCCGATAAAAAATGGTGACCCATTTATTCTATATCAAACTATAAGTACTTCGTTGGTTCATAAAAATAAACACCAAAATTATCAAAGATACCAAGAAAAAAAAAGACTATATTGATAAAAAAAAAAAAGAATTTTGATGAATCTATTGCAAGACATCAAAAAATGACTGAAAATAAAAACAAAAATCATTATGATTTATTTGTTCCTGAAAATATTTTATCCCCTTATCCTCTTATCAACGGCTAAAATTGCAGATTCAAGTTTCTTTCAATTCAAGGGATAAAAATTCAGTATTTTTAAATACTGTACAAAAAGATGTGGTCAAGCTTTGACTTAAAAAATCATGATAGTGATAAAAAGAAACTAGTTACATTAAAGTTTTTTCTTTGGTTCAATTATAGATTAGAGGATTTAGCTTGTATGAATCACTATTGGTTTAATATTAATAATAGTTGTTGTTTCAGTACGGTAATGATACATATATATCCGCGCTTGAAAATTCATTAATGGTACATTTTCTCAAATATTATATATGTATAATGTCGGGTATATGAAAAAATAAATAGGCATAAGGATGATAGTCTTACATTTTATTTCGATATATGATACTAATTTAATGACATACCTATCAAATATATATTAATTAGATAGGTCGACAAATGAATCACCAAGATCCTCTTATTTGAACTTTAATTTTTTTCTCTTTTGTAGAAATATATCACTCTTTTGTACCCATGTACGGATCAAAATGAAAACCTGATTGATTAATTTTATTTGAACAAATTAGAAATTTTACAATGAACTTAAAATTATTGTATATATCAAAATGACTGGTATTATTATTACTTATCAGTAAAATTCACATTCAAAAAGAAGGGAGAGAGAATATTTTGTTTTATGAAAAAAAACATTCATCTCAATTCTTCTTTAAGAAAAAACAGAAGAAAATAGGGGGTTCGTTGAATTTCAAATAGTTAGTTTCACCGATAAAATACGATGATTTACCTCACATTTGGAATTGCCTTCTCTCGGAGAGGTCTAGGTAAAATTCTAGGAAAATGTCAATGGCTATTGTCTTATTTATCAAAAAAATTTAATTAAAATAAGTTGTAAATAATTAATTAGTTAGTTGGATATTCAAGAATAAAAAAGTCGTTAATTTTGAATTAATAGATTTATTATATTTTCATTTTGATGTACTTTTCGTTTTCAACAATTTATGTAAGAATGATTCAAGAAAAAACTTATCAATCTACAAGCTATAGAAAAAGACCTTATGATAATCAATATAGGACCTCACCACATCAACGCATGGTGTTCTTCGTCTCATCATTTCTCTCGATGGTGAAGATGTTGTTGATTGTATAGTGGTTCGTGGAAGCAATAACCGTAAATGGACAAGAGCAATTGAGGAATATTCAAGTCCCTAAAAGAGCCAAATATATCAGAATAATTATATTAGAGTTGAGTTGTATAGTTTTTCATCTATTATGGCTTGGATCTTTTATGGTAGATATTGGTTCACAAACCCCTTTTTTCTATATTTTCAGAGAAAGAGAACTAGTTTTTTTATCTATTTAAAGGTGCTATCGGTATGAGAATGATACATAATTATTTTGTATCAGAGGAATGGCAGTCGTTCTACCTTACAGATGGATAGATAAATATTTGGATTTCTATGATTATTTTTTTAACAGGAATTGTTGAAATCAAAAACTTATTACACGAAATGAAATCATGTTTTTTTTTTTGAACGAGTTGAAGGGATAGGCATTATTGGAAAGAGAAGGAGCAATAAAATGGGGTTTATCCGGTCCAATGATATGATCATCGGGAATCAAATGAGATCTTCGGAAAGTTGATCATTATGAGTGTTACGACGAATTTGATTGAGAAATCTAATGGCAAGAGAAGGAAATTCATTAGCTTGTTATTTAGTCGAAATCAATGAAATGACATAATCCATAAAAATAATTCAATAGGCCATGGAAGGAATTTCGTGGTGGGAGAGAGGGTTTGTGAATTTAGAAATACGATGCTTTAATCGAGAAATGGATCCAGAATGAAATGATTTTGAATGTCTATTTATTAGTTAAAAAACATTCTTCCACATTTGAATTACCGAAACAAGTACTTTATGCGATAATGGAAGGCACAAAGAGAGAATTAGGAATTTTTCTGATAGGGATCAAAGCGATTTTCCTTGGAGGTGAAAAATTCGTCCGTCTGATTTTATCAATGCAAATTCTTCCACAATTAGTTAAAAGAATGAAACTGACTGATATTATGACGATAATAGATAGTATAAATATCATTATGAAAAAAGTGGTTCATTGAAATGATAATTTATACTATAGAAATACAATATATAAATTCCTTTTACAGATTGAAATCTTTAAAAAAAGGTCTACGAGATCGTATGATGTCAGTTCCTATTTTGAGTCTTATATTAGGAATCACAATAGGAGTATTAGTAATTATATGGTTGGAAAGACAAAAATTTGCAAGAATACGGCAACGTATTAGGCCCGAGTACGCCGGTTCTTTAGGAATTCGTCAATCTCTATGGTAACGTCGAAATTTAAGTGGGTCGTGGAGGAAGTAGTAATGAACCAGGGTTCCCTTGCAACATTTCCAACACTTTAGTCATTGATGGTCGATCTAATGGATTGGTTTGAGTGCACCAAAGGCTCACCGTGACTAATTTCCTTGTTATTTCTTCTTCCTCATCCGCTATCCCTCCATTAAGATTCAAATTCATTGACCTATCAAAATTGTTATAAATCCACAAGGGAAAATCCCTTTCACTACTTTCGCAACCTTCAACATCAACATTTCTTCTTCCTCCAGTCATTTCAAGCAGCAGCATCCCATAGCTATAGACATCTGATTTATGAGAAACTCCGCCGAAGTTCCGACAAAACACTTCCGGAGCTATGTATCCCACGGTCCCTCTTGTACCTGTATTTGTGATAACACTCTCCTTTCTTTCACATAATTTAGACAGACCGAAATCGGAGATCTTGGGACAGAAGTTGGCATCTAAGAGGATATTGTGAGGCTTTATGTCAAAGTGCAGGATCCTCGTGTTGCAGCCTCGGTGCAAGTATTCGAGTCCTCGAGCAATGCCGAGCGCGATGTCGTACAGAGTTTTCCACCCGAGTCGACGACTCCGATCACACGATCCTTTGTGATAAATGAACCTATCTAATGATCCGTTGGGCATGAATTCATAGACCAGAGCTCTCTTTGATCTCTCGAAACAGAAACCAAGAAGCGTTACTATATTGACATGGGAAGTTCTGCCAATGCTAGCTACTTCGTTCATGAATTCCTCTCCGTTTTCCTTGGATTCGTTCAATATTTTAACCGCCACGAGACAGCCGTCCGACAACGTCCCTTTGTACACACTGCCGTATCCTCCGCCACCTAATTTATCTCGAAACCTGTTTGTCATTTTCTTAATGTCACCGTAAGAATATCGATGGGGAGCTAGAGAACCGAACATTGTGATGAATTCCTCAATCCTGGCATTGTCGTCCTTCTTTCCATGGCATAGATGATTTGATAAGGATTTCCCCTTGAGCCTTAGAACAATGAAGCATACAGCAGTAACCGATACAATTGAGACCGTTACAGCAACTGTCAATCCTGTTCATAAATGAAGATCAATCAAATAAAAGGTTTTGCTCCGATGAATTAAAGTATACGACAATTCTTAAAGGAAACAACAATACGTGTATTTAGAAATTCTCATAATAGAAATTTTGTATACAATTAGTTTCGTACCTATAAATCTTATATTCGGCTTCGATTTGGACTTGGATCCTGCAAGTATAATACAACGCACGAAACAGTGAATTAGTTCAATCCAATTTACACTGGGCCTAATAACGTTTTTGGTCCTCGAACCTTTAAAAATGTTATTTTAGTCATTAATTTTTCATTTTTTTTACCCCTTTTAACTTTTATTTTGTTTGTCAGATTGACAAAAAAAAATCAAATTAATTAATCTAACATCAACTATTTTTTTCCCTTTACCTAAAAGATTAAAAACATGTTTAGAAGTGTATAAAAATAAAAATATATTAAAATTTTAAAAATATAAAAAATGTAAAAATTAAATCAATTAATTTAATTTAAAAAATAAAAATAAAAATTTGATGATAAAAAAAGAAAAAATTAATAATAAAAATGTCATTAAGTCTTCAATTTATCGGTGGAAAAGTTTATTTTCAATCCGAACTAGTTGAACCAAGTTTAATTATAATTTTAATATTTGTGTTTATAAGAAGCTATAAATTTAATATTATTAAGAAATTTGAAATAGTAAAAAGAAAATTATAATATAGATGAATAAACATTTTTTTAAGAAGTTTGGGGTTGCAATCCAATTCGACCTGACTAAGGATACTTGATTACATACCTCGGTCATTGATTCCAGAAGACGATGAGGAAACAACGCGTCGGCAGTGTCGGTCATCGGGCAAATTCTCAAACATGAATGGGCAGTGGCAGAATATAGTTTGATTCTCTCCGCCAAAGAAACCGCAGGCTCCGCCGGAATCATTACACTTCCCACATTCTCCGCTGTCCTTCCACTCTACCTCCACTCCTCTTCTCAAGGCTCCTTCCAATCCCGAGGAAGAATTCAGCCCTCCTTCCATTGCAGTTTTAAGAATCGGAACAGTAACATTAGCCGAACATCTCGCCGGTCGGCTGTTCCCCGGTATCCCAACGGAAACGTTACTGTAAGTTGAACTGACGTTATCGCAAGAGAATAATCCAAGACTCCGTAACGAGACGGAAGATGGGCAGTCGTAAAACAAAGTAACATCGGTATAATCAGGACCAGGTGAAAACAACTCGAAATCGAAGACTGAGTTTCGAATCGGAATTAGAGGGTTACAAAGGCCGTCGTTGACGAGATCTTCCCTCGCAATCGTTAGAATATGAAGATCCCGATTGATGGCCAGAACCTGATATTTTATATCGGCGATCACGATCGTTGTTTTATTATTATTGTCACAGTGAAGTTCGAGAACACGTCGTCCGCAATCCGGCACTCGAAGACCTCCGAAGAAAGGAAATCCGGCGGAGATATTTCCGCATTTGAACAATGCATCGCGACAGTTCTCATACAATTCATGATGGCTTAGTGAAAGGGGAAGCCCAAACATGATGGTTAATAAGGAAAACAAAAGAAGAGGAAGCTCAGGTAATGATGAGAAACAAAGATTATTCATTTCCCCCCTAAAATCTTCTGAGAACAGATGGAAAATAGAACAATGGAAATGATGAAAGTATTGATACAAAAGGATTGATTGGCTAAAGTAAAAGTGAAGTTTATCAAGACTAAGACTTAGACTATGGAATTGACTCAGTCTGTTCGTTATTGATTATAGAAGAGTGTTTCTTAGGCTAAACTATAATATTAGTCACTAATTTATCACCTTTTTTTCATTTTGGTCACATAATAATAATTATATTTTATAAAAATTATGATTTACATCACGTTTTTCCCCTATCTTCGACATTAAATCATATGATTATTAGTAAATAGTTAGTAGCAATGATAATTCAATATAGGGTAAAATGATCACGGGGTGTTGTTTTGTTATTTTTTTACTATTAAAAGTTATAAAACGATATCTCGATTAAAGGACATTGTTTTATTGTGTCTCTCGACTAAAAAAAGTTATAAAATAGTCATCTGACTATTTATATATTCCAAACTTATTCTTTTTTGTTAAGAAATTTACGGTCCTTTAAGCTAGATGTTAACCTGATGATTGAGATATGATAAAATCTAATCTCAGAATTATTTGAACTATATTATGTGGATCGACTCACCATTTATATTATGTTGTCGAGTCAGTGCTTGAAATATTATGTTGTCGAGCAAATGCTTGAAATATTTTGTTGTCGAGCCAATGCTTGAAAGCAATAACAATGCCAATAAACATCACTAAAATATGATTTTATCATATCATAGTCAATAGATTAACATCCAGCTTAGACGACTATCAATTATTTAAGAAAAAAATACCAGTTTGAAACATATGAATGATCAGGTGCCAATTTTGTAACTTTTAATAGTCGAAGGACTCTAAAAAATAATATTTGTAATTGAAATATTATTTAATAATTTTTAATAGTAAATAACTTAATAAAACAACACTTTATAATGGAGAATCATTTATATATTTTACCTTTAATATAATGTAATTATTAATAATAAAAAATATTATGGGTAATAATATTTTGAGATAATATAATATCATAATAATAATAATAGGAGTAATATGATGACATAACATCGAATGAAAATAAAACAAAGTAAAATTAGAATAAAACTTGTAATTAGATTGTAGACACCCATTTTCTTAAAAGATAGAACGAGCAAGAGTTCATCTCCTGAGAGGACTCTTCCACCTCCATATCTTTTAAAGTAACAACCACACCAACAAACGTGCAACAATCGAGCAAGGAGTCTAGTTGCATTAGGATTCTATTGTTAATAGGATTCTAAAAATAGTTAGTTTTTTTCACTATAAATACATGTAATCCTCCCCCTTTGTAACAGAGATTTACATACAAGATACCGAGGAAATCACGAAAAAATATAAAGGCAAAACTATTGTAAACGATTCGAAAAGGAAATAAAATGAAGCATCTTTTTTTATATTAATTCGTTCATTTCTCGCATGTACATGTTATTTTTCTTGAGATTTGGTTTGAATAACCCAAAGCGTGGGTTGCGCCGATGACCAAAAAGAGGTGGGATTTCGAAGTTTCGAACCTAGATCTACTCCCGAACATGTTCATTTTTTAAAGTATTTAATATTCCCCCTAAGTCAATCTTAATCTTTAATTTACCTTGAAATTTACCCTTTAATTTTACTTTTATATTAATTTCTTCCCATATATATATATATATATATTTTTAATTATATTTTTTTATTTATTTACTATATTCCTCTTTTTTTATTTATATTATAATATTTTCATTATATATATTTTATATCATTATATATATATATATATGTATAGATGTATTAATTTTCTCTATTTACTATGTATATATTTTTTCTTAATATTATATTTTATACGTTTTTATATATTTTTTCTTAATATTCTATTTTTGTTTTTTTTATTTATATATATTATATTTTTACTTTTTTTATTTTTATTTTTTTTCTTAATATCATGTATATCTTTATTTTTTATTTGTTTTACTTTGTATTATATATTTATTATTTTTATTTGTTTTAGTAAATATTACTTTATATGTACACATTATTTTTATTCCTTTTTAATTTCTCTTACTTTTTTTATTTTTTTACTCCATTAATTTTTTCCCTTTATTTGTGTCTTTGTTTTTTAACATTTTATTCATTTTGTTTATTTTTCTTATTTTATTATTATGTTTTTACGTGTTTTGTTATTTTTATTTTTTCTTGTTTTATTTATTATTCTCACGTTTGCACACTTGCTATCCTAATTCGATTTTATAATCCGCTACGAATCTAACGTTTTTATCTTTTAAGGGTATTCAAATCAATCAATTGTAAGTAATTTGAATCGGATTTGTTAAATTTTAATTTAAATTTCGAATTTTCGCAACTAAGACAACCGGCAAATTAATTGGTATCGAAAGGGCGGTTCAAGGGTGCTAATCATTCCTTGACCGTAACCGGCTTCCGAACCCGACACATTTCTGGTAAAAATGCAGATCATGTAAGATGGTGTCCGACCCACCTAAATTCGTTTTAAAATGGTCGGTGGCGACTCCAATCCACATTTTTCAAGTCGAAGCCCAATTTCGGGGCCCAACCGAAAGACGGTTACGATAGCTTGGCGACTTGCTGGGGAAAGGTAAGTGAGTCAGGCCAAAATTAATTTTCGGTTGTCTTTTTTTAGCGAAAATTACAATTTTAAATTTTAATTTATTTATTCGATTCCAATTATTTATCTTTGATTTTTTTTCAAGTAAATAGTTGTACTAACTGTTTTCTAATAATTTCATCCCTTAAAGATTTTTCGTCTAAGGCTCCATACCCGAGCTCCGAACCCTATTTAAGTGGTGGTTAAAGCGACTCCTTCGTGTGAATTTATTCACCGTGCAGGCCTAGCAAGTAGCCTTCGGGATTCATATACCTTATGTCTTCGTGTGAATTTATTCATCATGCGGGCATAAGGGAATGTTTCCTCTCGAGTTTAACTTAGTCCACATAAGCTTGTAATGGGCTTAGGACTAAGGGTCTGGCAAGCCCAAGGGGGCACCATCAAAGAGAACTCGGGTACCGTTTTTTAGAACCTAAACTGGGAGACTTTGAAGGAGTTAGAGCCCACCCCAAAATCTCATTTCAAACCCTAGGATGCCGGAATTATTTCCTGCTTTACTTTCTGTTCAAAGCAAGTGAACTAGAAATTTATGCGGTTAGGACTTGATCAAAATCAACTTGCGGGATAGAGATCATGTACGGGTAGGAATAATAAGCATGTGGGGCAGGACTTTTATTTTCATGATTGTTTTTTCACCTCACTAACCTTTTTCATTTTTGTTCTCTTTTATTTTGTTTTCATCATTTGCATCATTTAAAAGAGGTATTGATCCACCAAAAAATGTGTTCGTTAACCATAAATAATTTGTATTAATGGACAAAAGGGTTGTAATACAAGAGATGAAAAACGCAGGGGTCCGACTATGGTCAGAAAAGACTCAGAAAGAAAATGAGGATAATTTGCAAGACAATTATGTGTCACATTCGATCAATAAGACATGGTGCCCATAATCAAGTACATCAAAAGTTAACTTTTCAAAAATGGGTTGACAAAGGTGGCAGGGGCAAGACGAGAAAAAAGTTATTGACATCGAGAGTCCATTCAAAGACAACAAGAACAAAGATGGCAAGTCACTGTCGACAAATTCAAGAAACAAGCAAATGAACTTTGGTAATCCCTTTGATGGAGGATTTCAATGGAATTTCCGATTCAGCAAAGGATGAAAGCCAGAGATACAGTCATTCGACACTTTTTGGGAACCAGTAAAAAAACAACTCAACATTTTCACGGTTCATCCAGAGATGCCGGAGTGGTTCAACAGGTTATTCAACCGGTGAAATACGAAGGCAAATGACTAGTCAACTGTTCCGGGACTAGATGATTTAGTCCGGATGTACCTTTAAATATGTTTATTGTCTCTTAAAAGATAAAACACTTTTGTCCCAATAAAGGTTATTTACAATAACATACATGTTTTTGGATCAATGCCTCGAACATTTCATGCATTTTTGCATTTTGCATCTACATTTCATTTTTAAGCATTTTCATAAACATGAAATTTCTTCATGGAGAATTTGATGAAGTGGTTTTAACCACATGACACCACATGGAAGAAGATTGTAACATCAAAAGGAAAAAACTGAAATCATAACGAATGAGCTCGATCAGCTGGTTGTACGACTAAGCCTGCCAAGATGATCTGAGAAAATAGTCCACATATCCTAAGGGCTACGATGTTGAAGCTGTTTGCAGTTGCCACATAGGATGCTCCAAACATTTCTTTGAGAACTATAAGGCGCTGAAGCGCGAGATTCAAAACCTGATGGGTTTAGGGGCACGGACAACCGAAGAAGGGGGAATTGCATATACCATTTGCACCTAGAGGATTGTTTTGTTTGAACGCGTCTTTGATCTTTTGCTTAATCTTTTAAACGATTGAATTTATGCTACTTTCTAAGGTGGAGCAATTGAACAAATTTTAATCTTTAGCTCTTCGAATATTAAATGAATTAAGGATTCTTTTAATTCTTCAAGAATTATAGATTTTTGACATATGGCAAGATTAGACCTTTCTTATCCTGTCTCAAACCCCAAAATAAAATACCTTGATTCTTTACCCAAAATAACTCATGGTCATTACCAAAAAGACCAAATTTTGACATTACATCCTTTTGAAACTTTTGAACATTGCCTTTATCTTTTGATACACCCATACCTTTCTTTGAGTCAAATAAAGTCACAACATTGTCTTTTTAGACTCAAAATTGACATTTTTATGCCATTAAAACCCAAGGCATTGAGTTGTTCATTTGAACATGAGCCTTCTTCTAAGACACAACTTGGGGTATCTCGCAGAAAGCATGAACATTGAGACATTGGGGGTAAAAAGCAG